TATACTCTTTTCATTTGTGTACTACGCGCCGTGCTTTTAGAACGAGGGATGCTCTAGTTGTTTGTGCACGTTCCACGGTACATTTTGAACGAGGAATACTCTTGTTGTTTGTGCACTTCGCGCGGTGATTTTAGAACGAGGAATACTCTTGTTTTTTGTGTACTTTGCAAACTTTTGTCATTTGTGCACTTCGGGTGGTACTTTAAGAAGGAGATAATACTCTTATTGGTTGTGTACTTCGCGGAGTGCGTTTTGGTAGAACGCGGAATGCACTTGTTGTTTGTGCACTTCGCGTGGTGCTTTTTAGTGTAACGAAGAATATACCCTTGCCATTTGTGCACTGCGCGCCGTGCCTTTAGAACTAGGGATACTATTCTTGTTTGTGTAATTCGCGCGGTACATTTGGAACGAAGAGTACTCTTGTTCAGTGTAATAAAGTATGTGGTTCTTGTTCATCGTGGTGTAAGATAGAAGATGAACTAGATGAACCTTATTCGTTTGTCTCACGACGGAGTCACTTTGGATGTAAATTGCGACGTTTCGACTGCAATACTGCTAGTCTTACGTCAGGCGATGAGGTAGATTGTTTACGTGTCGCCATTTGTAGAACGTTGGTTCGCTGCTATTGATGCATTTCGATCCTCGTTATTATTGCGGTTGTTAGATGGTGTTCCCTCATAGGACCATATAGATCGGCTGTTGTGTTGTTTGATCGTGGGTATCGAAGCTTCGGGAATTTCGATTCCACTATCCCTATTGATGCTGTTGGGATGAAGTCTTATATGGATAACTTCTTTGACCCTGCGACTCTTGATTACATTAGACGATTCGTGCAGGTCGTACGGATCGTTAAACTTTCTTGGCCAAAGCTGTAATGAGATTCACCATGGATGGAAAAGTTCCAATTTTTTCTAGATTAATTATTTTTTCTAAATTCACTTGTCGTGCTTGTTATTATTTTTTTATAATAATTTTCCATTACTTGTACCCACACCCACAACCTATGACATTAGTCAAACTATACTTGACATACATGTCACACTACATTTACTTTGAAAGACTTTGTATAAACAATTAACATATGCATTTTCAACTGTATTTTCAATGATGTACCAAAATAAATCAAGTGTTTTATCTGTGTATGCATATGAGAATTTTGTTATTCCACTTTATTTCATCTTGTACACAGTCAAATCCATGATTATCAGGATATATTTCTTACACTTTGTTTACGTAAATTTGCTTTCAGACAGCACCTAATCTGCATTACCTAATGATTGGTCCAGTAATAGCTGTTATTGTTTTGGTGGTGCTATGGTTGCAAATCGGTCCATCAGCCCTGGCTGGGATGGGGTTGATCTTGTTGTTGGCTGCCATGCAGCTTAAAATGGGCAACACTCTCTTCTCATTCAGGTTAGCTCCTTAGGATATTGTTTACTAACATGTGACTTTTGAGCTAAGTTATTGCTGTGACGACTGCAGGGACTTAAACTGCACTTCAAGCTTTGACCATTTTTATCTCTATGATGAGTGGAAAAATGTTGGTGACTAATGTATGTTTGTTTGTTTGGCGATTATGTCGCCAGCTTTAATGTTATCATTACTAATATTATTTTTAATTATGGTCTCAAGTTAAAGTGAGTCTTTCCCTTTCCCTCTTAATTTTTCTCTTTCGTCTGGCTTGTCCGGATACTAAGACTACTAAGTCATACTGCCTTCATTTACAGTTGGTGTATTTCAAAAAGTGTGCTTCATGGAGCTCAGTATTACAGCATTTTCATTTTTTCCTTCATTGGCGATGAAAATTTTATTCCACTCTTGCACGAGACAGTGAATCTGTTTGAGCATCTTTAATGAAGAAACGAGAAGCTCCTGAGGGCTCAAGAAAAGCCTTTGAGGACTTAAGGAAAGCCTCTGGGTAGAGAAAGAGGGTAAAGAAACAACTGGAACAATCAAACGAACAAAAAAAAGTGATTGGTAACTGGTCGAGTCTTCCGAAAATCTTTCCCAAGCTAATGTTGCCTGAAACCAGAGTCATGTCGTTCAAATTTTTATGTCTAGTCGCCCGAATTCCTAGGTCATGTTCCCCTTAGAAACAGTCTCATATAGGATCAGACTTACAGTCTGTAAATAGACAATAAAGTTGAGAAATCTTCATCATTCAAGCAGCGTTCGTTTCCGACAACAGCGTGCAGAATTTGACTACACAGAAATTATCACTGATCCTGACAGCTCTCTGGAGCAGCGAATTTCCAGATTTCTAATATTGTATAGGACCAATTCACGTGCCACTAAAGGAACATCACCTGCCAAGCTCTTCTTGGGAAGAGAACTCTGAACCCGCTTGTCTCTGACATGGCCTGATCTTGCTAATTACGTGGCCTGCCAACAAGACAAGATAAAATACAATCATGACATGCAGGCCAAGTTCGGAGATGTGGCTACAGGTGACATTGTATTGACACAAGACCATTTATCCAGTCGCAAGTGGCAACCTGGCAAACTAGTGATATAACAGGGTTATTTGGTGTTATCAAATGAGTTGAAAGCGTAAATTGGTCACCGTAAAGAGTTTAAAGGCTGACGTTTCGAGCGTTAGCCCTTCATCAGAGCGATTGGGGAATTTTGTGGGTTTATTCGCAGAAAATGGAGCTATGCTATTGGTGGGAATATGGTGACGAGAAAACAAGAATAAATTAGTTGAATGAAAAGCGCTCGTTGATACCGTGGCGATAAAGAGTGCCGATTTGGAAGATGAATTTTTGTTCTGGAGTTTTGCGGCTTTCCGAACTGCCTACATCCACGCAGTTCGGAAAGCTGCGAATCACGGTACCAATGAGCGGTATCATTAGGCGGTATCAACCCACGCAACGCAGCACCACAGTTTCTTTAGAAACTTAACCCTTTATTCATTAGTGATAAAACAGACAGCACCTCAGTCTTACTGCTTCAGTTGGACGATGGACGGACTTGGAGGCGACACCTAGATGATGTTCTTCTGAACGATCGCACTCCAGGAAACACTAAAGAAGAAACAGCCTCCATCAGTAGAGATCAACAAGATCCTTCTCTAAAGAGGCCCAAGAAGATTGTAGACAAAATAAGCTACCCTCAACCTCTGCTTCTATTAGTCTTGAACCATGCAGATCCAGACGCATAGCAAACTTCCTCGAAGATCGATCGTAGAAATCTGAGCAAACTTTGTGCGCTCGCCCCCCACTACTGTGGCCTGGGTTAGATTCCTGGACCTGAGTTTGCTGTTGGTTTTAGTCCTTGCTCTAAGGGTTTTTCCAGATTTCCTCCTTCCGCTAAAACCAACATTTCAAATTCTTATTCGACTTGGAAACAGTGGACAGAAAGAGCCACCTCGTGGATTGTCCACCGCTAAATCATTATTGATCATTATTATTCATTATTCGATGTCAGTCAACAATTAGTCAGGCGTAGCATGTAGGCGGGGATTAAGTTATTCCCCAAGGAATAATTTAATGAGTCCCATAAAGTGGCGAGTCTAATATGTAATGTGTCCCATTAACGTAAAGGTAGTAGTTGACTCAATACGTGAAATTTTACGTACTTGGAAAACTTTTTGAAATTATTTAAAGGATTAGAAAAGCATGATATTCAGTGAAAACATAAAAATAGCAGAGAATTATGGAAGATAGTTTGCAGGGCTTCTCTAGTGTTGTACTCAGTAAGTTGCCCAGAGGAAGTCGTGAGATTTATTTTCTCTAATTGTACTTCTAGGACAAAAGCAATACACTGGATGGATGAACGGGTGAAAGTTATGAATGAAATTATAGCTGGAATGCGTGTCATAAAAATGTACACATGGGAAGATTCATTTTCAAATTGGATCAGACAAATACGAAAGTAAGTTTCCTGCCCTGGATTTCTATAGAAAATTTGAAATAACAAGTCTTCTAAGAACTAGAACATTTAATTGGTAAATCTGCCTCTTTTCATTTCATGTATAGTCTCCCTAAATAAACATATTTATTTGGGGAAATGTTGTATGACGTAAGTAGTCAGGATGTGCAAGTGACTTATCAGTAATGTGCTTTATGAGCTCCCTCGTGAAGTGCAGTTGTAGAAAGTTCTCTTTCTAAGACCCTTGCAGATGGGAAAATACGAAATGAAGAATATGAAGCACACACCCTAAATTCCTGTTGAATCCTGATGAATTTGATGAATCGTAGCAAAAACTTCCCAACTTTATATGGAGAGAAAGAAAATGATGTTTTATTCTTGCTACCTGCAGAGAAGCCAAATTATTTGATTTTATCTGTCTACTGCTTGTAATTATTTGCCTATTTGTTGCTTGCATTTTAGTAATAGTTGTTAGGAGTATTAAGCAATGTCATCTCAATTTGTTTTCTACTTGCAGAAGTGAACTTAAGTGGTTTCTGAAGCTGAGTTTCATTCAAGGAGCCTTCCAGTCATTTTTCTTTAGCTCATCAGTTGTTATTAGCTTTGTGACGTTTATGACCTATGTCCTGACTGGGGAAGTTTTAAAGGCACAAACAGTATTCACCTGCATATCTCTGTTCAACATCATGCGAGTTGTAATGGCCCTGCAGTTTCCAATAGCAATCACTCTGTTGAATGAATGCCGAGTGTCAGTAAAAAGGATCGAGGTGTCTAATGATAATTTCATTTCAAATTTATTCTATTTCAAATAAAATCTGCATGTCTTGACCAACCGCACCTATGGTATTGAAAGCTAAAATTTAATTTTTATATATAGCAATTTATTGAAAATAGATTTTCAATAATTATAGGTTTGCATAAAACGACATGAAATCTTAGTTCGTTTGTTGAGTCGTTCTTATCTAATTGGCTAATTTACACATATGAAAGCGCGGAAAGGACATGAATAGTTCATTCTTAATTTTTTTAGTTCTCATTTGTTCTTGACCGAACAGTTTAACTCAGTACAGACAAATCGAACATCATTAAATGTCCAGAGTAGGTGTACAATACTGACAAGTAATGAAAAAAATACCATTATTACTTTGAAGGATATTCTGCTCATGGATGACATGCAATCAGAGGGTCTTGTAACCTCAAAATTGAGACCTAAACTGGAAGACTGCCATGTTGCTGCCAAAAATATCAAAGCTCTTTGGAATAAGGTATAAGGATAATATATAATGTATAATATCAACTGAATTATCTACGGTCTTTAAAGCCAAAAGTAACATTTGTAGTTACTCTTAATCAGAATATTGAGAAGAATGACTAAATTGAATACTCAATTATTTTCTTGTCTAGTAGGTCTCACGCTATCCGAGGCTATTTTTAATCACTTGCTCGTGGACAGCTTATCGTGAATTGTTTCACATATTTCTCTTAAAACTTATTTGAGCATGTTGTTCTTCATTGTAATCTATGGTTTCATTTTCAGAACTTACAATCCCCAACTTTGGAAAACGTTTCCTTCAAAGTGTCAAGTGTATGTATTTAAACTGTTTTAAGTGTTTAAGTGTGGGTTTGGACATCCAGGGTCACTTACGGAAACAGTCTAATTTGGGCTGCAGTTTTTGACGATCGATGGAGTTCGAAAGTTCTTGTGGGTTTTTTGAAGTCATTAAATCGATTCTTCTTGTAGCGTTAGATGTAAGTCCTACTGACAGTTTCACAAAAAGTTAGACTTAACGTTTGAGTATTTTCTGCTTGACGTAAGATTGTTCAGAGCGCAGTTTAGTTGAATAAGAGTTCAACTTTGTTTAAAAAGTGGTCCCCCCAGAGTTGGTAAATTATATACATTTCATCTTGATGTAGGGTGAACTTCTGGGAGTGATTGGTGCTGTTGGATCTGGCAAGGTATTAATTCAATAGTTTTTTTTATAATTCAAACTCTTCTCAATCCCTTTATTACGATCCCTTAATTTTCTTCTCATCCTAAAGTGTTAAACGCAGCTGGCACATGCCCCATACATGTGCCCGGTTTTGTATGGCACGATGTCCTCGTTGGGGGGTGCCGAAAAAACCCTGATTCCTCCTCTGAAGATTATGTAATTATATACCTCAACTGTATAGGCTGTGCTTGTAACATAATGTTATTTATCAGTTAGGTTTTTTGATCAGTACTAATCGTTTCTTGACATTTACATTTTTCAATTAGTCCTCCCTGCTGATGGTAATACTGGGTGAACTTCCCTTGACTGAGGGCTCTATAACAGTGAAAGGAAAAATTGGCTACTCTTCACAACAGGCTTGGGTATATAATGGCTCACTGCGCCAGAACATACTCTTTGGGCAGAACTATGATGAGGACAAATTTAAAGAAGTCACTAAAGCTTGTGCTTTGGATAAGGTACATGTATTGCATGCAGTTGGTTTTCAAAAAAAGTAATTTTTTTTCTATTTGTTTTGAATATCATATCTTTTCCATTTTACTGAATTTTTTTTGTCTGGTTGGTTCATTTCAGAAGATCTCAAGCTCGATTCCATCAAAAGTTTGTCGATTTTGAAGTTGCAATGGCTTGATACGATATTTTTAATGTTTTTTATCATCCCATGTTATTTAGGATATTGAATTGCTCCCAGATGGTGACATGACATTTGTAGGGGAACGAGGAGTGTCACTGAGTGGAGGTCAAAGGGCAAGGGTCAACTTGGCAAGGTATGACGTATGTTACGCTATCAAAAGGTCGCGGGAACTAAACCATCTATGGGCTCAAAAAGCTACTTCAGTATGCCGGACCAGCATTACACTTGCACCTGCGCACTGCTGCAGTACCTCTGTCCATAGAAAGCGTCAACAGAATGCGAATGCCAGGTATTAACTGAAGAGAAAAGACCTTTGGCTCAAGATCGATGTAATCTGCAATCTGTTGGGACTTTCTTGTGAGGATATTAAACGGCCACTTACAGTTATTACAATTTTGAGGAGTGGCACGAAAAAGATCAAGAAAGCATGTTAATTATCGGAAGAATATGGAAGATATACAGATTATAGTGTTCAGCTGAAATAATTAAATCATTAAAACATGTGAAAATGTGAAAGACCACACAGTTGAGTAAGATTTTTTTTCTCTCAGAGCAGTGTATGCCGACGCAGACATTTATTTGATGGATGATCCACTGGGTGCTGTAGATGCTGACGTCGGTCGACACTTATTTGAAAAGTAAGAAGATATAAAGAACTTTCACCTGCTTAGCCAACCCAGTAGAATAAAAAATTTAAAAGAATTTGGCCAATCTCCTTTGCAGCCAGCACTCATGTGACCTCTCGAAAGAAACCTGTGAAAAAGGTACTACGGTCACTGATTATGAACAGTGATCATTTATTCTTCTTTCAATATAAGCAAGCTAAATTGTGCTAGAGAACAGAATTTTTGGTGAAGTTTCAAAATTTTTGATCAATTAATACCCTTAGCACTGCTAAGGTTATCAAAAATCGAAAATTTCTTAGAAATTCGCGAAAGAACGGAGTAAGTTCTCATTTGAATTTTTCATCAAAGCAGCTTGTGTGTGTGTATGTGTGTGTTTTTTACATTTCACATCCAACCTGTTGAGAAACCTTTCCAATTCCACAGTCGTCATCGTTTTTGGACTGTGGATACTAGCTATAGTAGCATGACTGCCCGTGTTTTTATTAAGGTGCATCTGTGGATATTTGGCAAAGAAGCCACGCATCTTAGTAACTCACCAACTGCAGCACATTGGAGAAGCAGATGATATAATCGTTTTAGATAAGGTAATACATCAGCTGTTATGTTTCGTAACGTTTAATTACGGAGGAAGAAACATTAAACCTGAATCAAATAGAGTGAGTTAAAAATCCTAAGTTTAACAAATTCGTTAAAAATCAAAACGTTTAGTCAGTTGAGCTGATAATTTGAAGTTTCAATAATGACACATTTATGTACATGACTGTATTTTGGAAGGGCGCAATAATGGTACATTCCTCTTCTTCTACAGTTAGTACGAGTAATGCACTTTACACTACGCTGCACATAGTCTGGCCCACGAACAATTCCTCTATAGCTCAGTTGAAAGAGCGTGCGAACTCCACTTCAGATATGGCTGCCTTTGGTTGGTATCTTCCCGGGGGAATGAGTGAAACTACGTCACTTTCTTCCCAAATGCATCATCGTTGATAACTTTTGTTTTCCGTTTTTTAATTTAAAGGGAAAAGTAGTCAATAAAGGACCCTATAAAGAACTCTCTTTATGTAAAGGAAGTGCAAACATTATGGAATGTTTGATGAATCCTGAAACAGAGGCAGGTCGTGAAGTGGAAGCAAAAGATGCTGAAAGGCTGATGGTTGCTCGGCAGCTAAGTCGACAGGAAAGCTTCCCATGCCATCGCCTAAGTAAAATTGCTGACAGTAATTTTTCCATTGTGTCTGCTGCCACAACATTTTCTGCTTACGTAAGTCTTTGATCGCTATTCCTTCCCGTTCACATCTTTTAAAGTACATCATGATGTTCACTTATATTGTGCAAAATCAGTTTTAAAAGTAATATAGCAATCGAAGATATTTTTATTTTAAATTGACTTTATGTAGGGTTAAAGAACTCACCAAAGCAATAAACAGTCACTTAAATTTAAATCTAGCTGTAGTGGTTCTGCTTTACGTGAGCGTTCTATATGGTAGAGGGCAGTCCGTTGGAACTCAGTAAAGGGTGACCACGACCGCTTAATAGAAGTGACCGCTAAGTAGAGGTGAAAATTACAGTGATTTCGGGGGAAATTTTCGGGACTTTGAGAACTGACCGCTTACTACAGGATGACCGCCTAATACGATGCCGCTTAATACAGGTTCGACTGTACCATTGAGATACACTGTGTGAATTAAATAGAGAAAGACAGCTACTGTCACGGTATCCTCATAAGGGTTAGCTTTGGTCTTAAAGGATTGAGGGTTGAGTAGCTACGGCAACTCTCACCACATAATCATCAGAGTGTCCGTCACTCGGGCCAAAATTTAGTGCTTTTAGTTTTTTTTTAAATGCAAATATGGAAAAGAAGGATGTAGTTAAATTTTCGTTTAGCAAATGTACACGTGCAGGTACCGTTTATGATATTAGGGAACTTGCTTTAAATTGACTTCTTTAAATTCAGCGATTTTTAATTGAATACATCATGTTCACCATGCTTCTTCTACAGGACGACAATCTACTTCCAAGAGAAGAGAAACAAGAAGGAGCGGTCAGTCCTAAGACGTATCTGGCATATTTCCGTGCTTTACACAATTTAGGAATTGCGTTTGTTGTTATTTTCTTGCTTGCTCTCTGTCAGGTATGGAACATTCAGTTTTGAGTTCATTATATGCTCTGTTGTAAACGGCAAAGGGGCTTTTCAACGGACTAGTCTCAATCTGGAGATAAATTAACCCCAAATTGTGTTTTTAGCATCATTTTCTTGCATATATCTTTGTACATTCATACGCAGGGTTGAGGGTAAACTTGTCTAAATGAGTCCAACTGGCTTTTGAACTCCTTTTGCAACATGTATCGGCCGTGGTACACTCTTAAGTAAAATCGGATTTGAAACGGTTCAGATTCATCCCGCAATCATTTTGAATTGAAACACTCAACTGAGAATGACGATCTACATGTGCAGATTAGACGTTAGTGGTAGGCATTTCAGTATTGACGAAATTCAGGCTCTTAAATTCGCTGCCATTTTTCGAATTCTTCCTTCAGGTAATATCAATGCTGGCGGACTGGTGGTTGTCTTATTGGTAAGAAGAAAACAATTTCACTTTTTCTTTTAACACGCATTGGTACTTTTTTCAGAATAGAGGGCCTCGCGTTAAACCCGTTTTCGTAAAATAGGGGCTGAAAATTATCAAAATATTTACGTGGCGCAGAAATCTTGATCGGATCCTTGGACCCAGTTCTCTATATCCTGAACCTATGTCAGACCAAGTAATGTCATTCTCTGTACCTGTACTCTGACCTGGTTTCTGAGTGTTCTTCTTGGTTTCCCAATCCATTGCGCGTCAGAGCCGAAGTCAAGAATCTTTAGAATTGGAACTGGGGGCGAAAGTATTTTCGTCACTTTTCTCTTTTTTCGTTTGGAGTTAAGGACAAAGGAACTTATGCATTTTTCTTACCCCTTGATGTAAGGGTTACAATTCAGGTGGCTCTGATCTTACTTGACACAAGAGTTTTTGCATAGATGAATCGTACCATGCCGGTTACCGTTAAATAAAAGAAAACGATCAGTCACCTAACTCGTTTTTAATTTACATAATCATAAAGCCAAAATCAAGCTTCCTTGGTACAAAGTTCTCTCTCTCCCCAGCCGTATATTTTCGAAATACTTCTGGCTAATTCTGTGTTCGATACTGTTTTCTTAAAAAAAGACTGAGACAAAAACAGTAAATGGCGAAGTGTCGACTCATCGGAAAAAGATCAGTGTTGAAAGAATGAGTGAACGTACATTTAAGGGTGCGTTCGATATGCTGTAAAAGGACTTATATCTAGCAAGAGTAAATGTGGTGTGTAAAGAAAAATATTTTTATGTTACTTGGTTAACTTTTATTTGTTCGTGTAAATTTTGGGCTTTTGTTAGCATCAAAAGGTGCCCAACCTCCGCCCCAAAAAAAACTATGGGTTAAAAGAGTGAAGATGGATGACCTTATTGGACCGACGAGGGCCTTTGAAAGTCATGTGTAGTGGCAACACTTGTACCCAGGGCTGCTAATTTTTTGAAAAGGAAAGGCTAAATGACGAGGCTGTATGGGGATTACTCCAAAAAAATTTGATTTCCCTTGCCTGAGGAAGTTATCAAGTCTTTCTGCGAATGCATATAGTAATTACATGTATATAAAGCGCTTTCATGCTGCCTCAAGACTATTATAGTCAGAATCTGTACTCATATAAAATAACGTGTGCTTGTTTGTTCTTCGTGTGATTGCCTGTGCTAATATGATTTTACTGACTTCTGATGACTGACTAACTACTTCAGTTTTTTTTCCGATGAAATTTTACCTTCAGTTGTTGTTTCTGAGGGCGGCTGTGTACCTTTTCCCTTCTTTAGGTAACTGCATAATGCACACCTGCCTTTATCTTTTTCTGTTGTGTTGTGTTGATGCAGGTCTAATACAGAGGAATCATACTTCGTCGCTATAATGCTTCAGACTGGCAACTCCACGGCGAGTGCTGCATCAGAACCCGACCGAGGCTTGCTGTTAGGGGTTTATGGTGGTTTTGTAATAGGATTGTTTTTGCTATGTCTCTTTTCCACTGAGCTGTTCTACACACTAACAGTAGTTGCCTCAAGGAACTTGTACGAAAAAATGTTAAGTAGTCTTCTGAGGGCACCCATGTACTTTTTTGACAACAATTCCATAGGTGAGGAACGTTTGGATCGATAGATGTTCGGTAACATCAAATGAATTATTAAAGTGGAACTTGTTCTAACAAAAAATAACGAAGTTGTTATTAAAGCATTTAGTCTTTACTTCTGTGAACCGGCTGAAGGTGCCTCTTTGAGGAAGAATTTAAATTTTTTGCTGAATTTCGCCCAGAGTTTGAAGAGCTCTGATTACCATTCAACTAAAGGTGTATTTAATTTTTGAATGGTGAACTCAAGATTGAGAGGTCTGGGTGTTCTTTTTGTGTAACGGCGAACTACCAGGGAGACCGCACCAAATACCGGGGGAAGGGTTGAGCTGCAATGGGCTGGCATCACATCCATCCAGGGGGGAGCCAACTGGCTCCATTGCTGACCGTAGTTTTTATACCCTACTTTATGTAATAACCCAGACAGTTTAATGTACTCATGCTATTTCAGGGGGGGGGGGGGGGCACACTCCGCACGATTGCTGACTCTAATTTTACATCTTACTTTATTTAATAACCCAGATAGTTTAATGCACTCCTGGTAGAATATTTCAAGTACTTCTTTCCGCACCAGATGGGTCTGACGCAATACTCTATGACACAATAATTCATACCAATGTTTACCTGTTACAGGGCGAATCTTAAACAGATTTGCGAAGGACATTGGAATGGTAGACGACTTGATGCCTATGATCCTATGTGATGTTTTGCAGGTAGCATTGATATTATTACTAAGTATAGTTGTACTGCATGGATAAAGGGTGAGATTCCGTTCTCCACCTGTGGCCCGCTGTTAGTTTTAAAAGTAATTTTAATTCTTGGTTTAAATCCGTTTCTGTTTTTAGATTTTTTTTTGAGATACCTACATCCTTAGGAATAAAATATCGTACCTTGTTACTAAATCAGTAAACCCTCACACTCTTTCCTTCTCAGGCACCAGGTAATTGCGCCTCATTCAGTACGGAGGGGCACAGCATTCAGCCACTTCTTTGTACAAGTCTGGTTGTTGTATCACACAATTTATGATCAGTCGTATAAATGAAAGACTAATTCCAAAAATCGATTCGATCGAAATAGTGAGTAACGCACACAGGACCAGAGAATTGTTTGGAATGACGGCTCGTTTAGAGCAACAGTGTTAAGTGGACAACGGATAGGGTAATGATCACCGGCTAAATATCAAAACATTGCAACCAACCGACTTTTAAGATTTAGTCACAACTACAATGTGTCTGAGAAGGAGAGAGTGAGGGTTTACCGGTTTGGTAACTTGGTAGACAAATATTACATGAGGTTGCAGGGTCCTTCGAGACACCCTATCAAAGCTTCTCACAGAAAAGGATTGAACCAGTAGACTCAATTTGAAACAAAGGCGGTGTCATGTTAAAATATTCTTCCCTTGGGTAGACTGACACACAGCTGAAGCACTACTAACGAAACATTGTCTTCTTTGAAATGTTGTGGTCACCGTTAGACATTTCATGCGACATAATTCATGAATTAATGAAGATACAGAGTGAAGATTTCATGAATTATTTTCCTGTGACCTCTACCTTATTTCCTCAAAAAAGTGCCCACGCTCTGATGAGAGACCTCCCCTGAATAAGCGCCTTCCCATCAGCCATAATGTCAAACAAGTGCCCCCCGCCTCCCTCACTTTCCAAAGTATTAACGATACAAGGAAAATCTGTTTTATCGCCACTTTAATTTAAAACTTTTTAAGCTTTAATAACAGCGGAATCAGTACAGGAGAATAGTTTCTTGTCCGTTCCTGTTATTTCTTTTTCCATGTGCTTACAGAGTTCTTGTACGTACAAAAACTGTTCTTTTTCTTTTCGTGTTATTGCTCCACTAACTTGATAAGCGGCTTCCCCAATTAAGCGCCTTCCTTCGAATAAGCGCTTCTCCGTTTAGCCGAATTCTTAGATTAGCGCCCGGGTGCTTATTCGAGGAAATACGGCAATTATCGTAGTTTAATAACTGCTTTTGATTGTGGTCTGGTTTTTTTTTCTCTTGCAGACCGGTTTAATGTGTCTTGGCATTTTAGGACTAGTTGCTGTCAGTAATCCAGCGACATTTGTCATAATTGTACCTGTGACCATTGGTTTTGTTTATTTGAGGAATTATTTCATGAAGTCGTCTCGAGAAATCAAGCGCATTGAAGGAATAAGTAAGGGAACTACTCTTGCTGCTCTTCACTTACGACAAAAAAAAAATGCACCATTTCTATACTTTTTACTCCTTTAGGTCGTAGTCCACTATTTGGTCATTTCTCCACTACCCTTCTCGGTCTGGACACTATACGTGCCTATGAAGTGGAGGAGACTTTTACAGAACAAGTTAATGGTTATCAAGATGCTCATTCAAGAGCATGGTTTTGTTACTTGGCGGGTCAAACGTGGTTGAACTTTAGACTGGAAATGCTTACTGTTCTGTTTCTAGCCTTTGTTGCTTTTGTATCTGCAGCTTTAAAAGGAAGTAAGTAAGATGTTCCAATGACTTTGGTTCAGCTTTTAGTATATGTAGGTGTCTTCCTTTGAAGACAAGAACTGTGGTTTTGCACTGAGGTTTGGCTTCTTTTTTTTAGCATGGAAGTTTGAAGACTAATTTTCAGATTCTGGAAAAAAAGTATAGAAATTTATGAAAAAGTTCTGAAAGAGTGTGAAGACGTCTCGAGTTTCTTTCAAAGCTGTTATAAGTTTTTGTAAGAATTTCAATTTTGGAACAAGCTTTCGACAACTGTAATTCTGTTTCGACCATACGATAAAGTCACGGCCGTAAGTGTGGAGCAAGACTTCATTTTGTATTCAGAAAGTTGTGCAAACCCTGCACTTCCTGTCCATATGTAAATACACGAGATTGATCAAAGTCGGACTGATTGCTGCTTTTGTTCAGTTTCTTTAATTGTTTTCATTTCTGTTGCAGCTGTAGATCTCAGTGCTGGTGTTGTTGGTCTGACTCTGACGTATTCAATCATGTTAACCTCTGTCTTCCAACCATTTATTGAAGGGAGTGCTGAACTTGAAAATCTTGTGAGTCTTTTGTTGAGGCGAATCTAGTAGGATAAGAACAATAGCGTATTGTGAAAGATCCATTGCAAGGTTTTATCTATTTTATTGTAATATGGACTTTTCCTTAAACGGACGATCACATGGTAAGGTTTTAGTGATTAGCTAACCATTGAAACGTATAATTAACCCATTGTTGGGACATCCATAGCTATCTTCCATCCAACATTACAGTCCTAAGTCTGTTTTTTTTTATTCGTAATTAGATGACCTCTGTAGAGCGAATCGTGGAATACATCAACCTTGAAGCTGAAGCTCCAGCCGAAACTGTCACGAAACCTAAAGATGATTGGCCATCTCGTGGACAGATTGACTTTGATGATATGTCATTCAGGTATCACCGCAGCTTACCAGATGTGCTTCATCACATCACGTGCACTATCAAACCCAGTGAAAAGGTTAGACCTCTGCTCGTCTCTTTGTTTGTTTATTGTGAAGACAAGATCACCCCAGCTTAACACCGACTCCGCCCTGTTCATTCAGTAGACTAGAAACGTTATAGACTCCGGAATTTACCACGCATGGAAGTAATTAGTGATCAAACCCTGCTAATATGTCTTTAGTGAGTCTTCGCAGTAATCGCCTTTCGCTACATCAAGTAATGGGCTATCCTTTGATAGGCTTTCGGTCAGTGGAAATGAGCGACAAAATTTGGCCAGAGAAAAATGGTGGTTGGTTAATGGGATTATAAGTCCGGCTAGTATTCTGGCTCCTTTTACAACGATAAGCTTAGTTTTCTTACTTGCAAGGAGTTCCAAATATACTTTCATAGGAAACATAGCACATACATTGCTTTCTGTGCATGCAACGTTAATGGTAATAATTTTTAAAATCGTTCTAAACGTTTGTTAAAATCTTACGACACTGAAGATGTTAAGTAAATCAATCTCGTGGAAAAAAATTATTTGAAAGTTTTGCATCGAACTTCTTTTTAAGCAACCACATAGCTGTGATCCAATTCTATTGCACGTGCTTTCGTCCTTTTAAATTCTTGTTACTCATGTTCTTCATATGGTGTGCCGTGTTCTTTAGATTGGTGTAGTGGGTCGGACCGGTGCTGGAAAGTCATCCCTTATCTCTACACTGTTCCGCTTGTCAGAACCCCGAGGTAAAATTGAAATCGACGGTGTCAATATCCAGGAACTTGGGCTGAAAGACTTAAGAAGCAAATTATCCATCATTCCACAGGTAATAAATAAATCCAAATTTTGTCCTTTTCTACAGATTTCGTAGAGAGGGGTCTCCACTGCAAACTCTGGCTTTTATGATGATGACGAGAATGTTGGTAGTAAGAGTAGTGATAGCAATAATTTCAATAATTTTGATAATAATCACCGCTATCATTGACGTCATCATTATCATTGTCATCATATAAAGCCTCATAGTGATAGCCCTTACATTCAATATGCTACATTTTAAGGTTCCCATGATGAATTGGTTTCAGTAGTTTTTTTGATATTATTCAGGAGCAAAGTAACCATGATAATGATTTGAATTTACCCGACACGTGGGGGCCCAACCCCCCTCGTTCATTCCAGTGACCATCACATTGTATTGTTAATTTCATACAAGAACAAGCCATGTGATTATGTGACGTATCAGGGTGAGCTTCTTGACTATGTCATAAAACTCTGCTTCCCCCTTCCCCCTCTGCATGACATGAGCTTCTTATCTGTGAATCTCTTGGGACTTGAAGGAATGGGGCACGCGGTGAACCCGGTATGGCTTGGATTCCAACCGTCTAATCATTCCTAAAGCTTTTCCCTTTTGTTAACATGACTAGGTGATTATTTGTTTAGGAACCGGTGTTGTTTAGTGGTCCTATGAGAAGAAATTTGGATCCATTTGGAGAACATCTAGACACTGAATTGTGGAACGTGTTGGAGGAGGTAAAAAGATTACATTGATAAACTAATTTCTGCTGATTAAGGCAATAGATTTAATGTTGAATATCTAAATTTTTTCCTTCAGGTCCAGTTGAAAAACTCTGTTGAGGAGTTGCCAAACAAGCTAGATGAAGAGCTGGGAGAATCAGGCTCAAATTTCAGTGTTGGTCAGCGGCAGCTTGTGTGCCTGGCACGTGCAATTTTAAGGCATAGTCGTATTTTGGTCATTGACGAAGCCACTGCTAATGTTGATCAGAAGTAAGTGTCCTGACACTTGACTTTTCCAACATTGGAGTGTTTCTTTAATGATCGGTGATCCTGTAATGAATTTGATAATGAAAAATGAATGATTGCCGTTCATGGAATATGTTCTACAACTGCCTTACCCTCCTATATGCATTTTTCAGGTCAAACTGTTACAGCACCTACGGAAGTCCTTACTTTGGAAACTTTGCGATGTTTTCAAATCATTTATCCTTTTTATTTCTTTACGTAATTCTACGTTTTTGCAGGACAGACTCTCTGATTCAGACCACCATCCGCGAGAAATTTAAGCATTGCACAGTGTTGACGATAGCTCATCGTCTCAATACCATTATCGACTCCGACAAAGTACTGGTAGGAGGCTATGTAGATGTTGATAGATGATACTTTACAGTCTCCTTCATTCCATATTTAATTTACACTCGACGTTACCTTTTTTTTACCCTAGGTGTTAGATGCTGGCTGCCTCAAAGAGTTCGATGCGCCTTATGTTCTTCTAAAAAATCCCCGTGGAATTTTTTGTCAACTTGTGGAACAAACAGGTCCTGTTGAAGCAAGGAGATTGTACGAGATCGCAAGGGATAAATATAACCAACAACAAGTAGCCATACCGGAAACAGATGTCATTAATGACAACGAATCACAGGAAGAAAAGAAACCGGAAGTGTCGGTCTCACTGCCACCTGCTGATGACAGTCAATCCATGCCCCTGCCACAGTCTGATGATGAGTCACAAAAACCAAAACTCTTGCCTGCAGGTGAAGTTGAACAAGAGCCGGACTCCAAACATTCACAACTGTCATCACTAGTACACGTTAAAATTTAAAAAAAAGAAAAGTGATTCACCTTTTCCAGAACAAGGCTGCATGTCAACCTCAGGTTTAGATTCTTTAGCGGAGTTTCCAGGGCTAAAAATTGGCGGTCGCACGGCCGCCAGTGGCGAGTTAAAACTGACAAGGGCCACCAAAAGTTAAGGTTTGAACGCCCGATGTGCGACTACGCTACAGGATTTCGAAAAAGGTGCAATGTAAATTATGCGAAGTACAAAGTTAAAAATAAAACTCAATATGTAGTTTAATTGGACTACCTTTCTCTTTCTTTGCCTGGACTCTAAGATCATCCATGTAGTGAATTGGCGGTCGCACGGTCGCCAGTGGCGAGGTAAAACTGACAAGGGCCACCAAAAGTTAAGGTTTGAACGTCCAATGTGCGACTACGCTACAGAATTTCGAAAAAGGTGCAATGTAAATTATGCGAAGTACAAAGTTAAAAATAAAACTCAATATGTAGTTTAATTGGACTACCTTTCTCTTTCTTTGCCTGGACTCTAAGATCATCCATTTTAGTGAATTTTTAGTTCTGAAGTGGAAATTCCGAGCCGTTTTAATAATGATTTCACGAGCGATCCATATTCACAACGTATAGATGTCATTTTGATTTTGTGATTGCCACATGACTCTAGACTTCTGTGTTCTTTCCTTTAAGTTAACGCTCCGTTAAAAGGTATGGGGCGTTTATTCAAGTTTTTCGTTTTAAACTAGAGGAAATCGATGGCTGCTTCATTTTGGGATGGACCACTAAGAATTTAAGGAAACTGGCCCGACTGGCCACCAAGCACTGGAATTTTTAGCCCCGAGTTTCGTATTTTAAAAGGACACAAAACGGCTTGTTAACTTGTTTGAATTGCGAGTTATCGACAAAACACTAGTCTGTAAATGGATAGTTGAAATAAGTCAATTTTTTTAGAGGATATTTCATAGCATATATTACTGTTCATTTAGTAATATCTTAACGAGATGAAACCCTCCAAATATTCAAAACTCAATAAAACTACAACCTGCGTCAAGATTGGTTGACACCGTGTTTGAATAGTTCTATTTATGTGTAGAATAACACTCCTGTTTTCTATCACACTCTGAATCATTAACAAGACCCCCCTCCCCTATTCAATGTTGGCCAGAAGTTCATGGAATCGCAATACTATATTGATTTCTTTTGGGGGGGGGGGGGAAGGGGGCGAATAGGTTAACTTGACGAGGGTAAAAAAAAAGAAGATAAGATAATTGAAGTAATAGGGCGTTGAAAAGATCAGTGTGCGTGAAGCCCACAATACTGGAACACTTTAGACAACTCTTATTCTTCAGTCGCCCTCACTACAACACATCAAGTCAGTCAATCCCACATCAATTTATACGCTTTAAGGTAGACAAAGATAATTTGATTATTTCAGGCAGTTTTTTCCCTCTGAAACGTCGGGCAGTAAACGTAACATGCCTAACCTTTCCAAAGTCCAGGAACACAGACATTTAGTTGAAAACAGATGACCTTTTCCCATTATAGATAAGGCCCCATTGTTATTAGTGCGACGTTCGTTAACAACTCGTCAATGAAATAAGTGGGATATTTAATTAGCCCTTCATTTAAAAGCGGGCATAGTGGTGCGTGTTGCTTTCAGAAAATGAATGCGCCCTGTCCGTCACCTTAGGGGAGGAGGAGATAATGACTGACTGTTTCTATCAATATGCAAAGTAGGATTGGTCACCAAAGGGAGTGCCAAGTTTCTCCTCAGATACAAACTAGAATGCATGCGTCAGAGGTTACATGTTCTACACCGCTAGAAATCATGGCCATCCTGTGAATTTCCTACCATCTTCTGCGCACTCTGAGCAGCTTTTTCCCAGCCGCAGGAAATGGATTTTTCCTTTAGCTAGTTCACAGTTGCCATTCAGAGTGGGGCGCAGTTCCTTCTGGGGTACCAAAGGGGACGTAGCTTGGTACACAGGCAATTATACTGATGATCAATGGGTTAGATACGTAGAAGACACAACTGCCTCAGAGTTGTAGTCAGTTGCAGTTGCTGATGGTAGTTGATGAGATTTCCAAGTGGTCTGCTATGAACCGAGTGCGTTTCACGCTGTTAAACGTTAAGACCTAAGAATTTGACGGAGAAAGTACATTTTAAGCTTCGTGAGCTAGGTTTAGGAAGATGTTACTCATTGAGTGACACAGGCGTGCTCGGAGAACAAAAGAGAGCACTCTACGTGCTCTCGATAAGACCTTCCAATTGCAAGTAGCACTTCGGACGCTCTACTACTAATCTGTAGAAGACTCGTCGCAAGCTCCGCCGTTTAACTAAATCCATGGTGAAAAACTTTCTGCATATTGCGAGTATAGGAATGTCGATATGTAATGCTGTCGGAGACTTTGATTCGTGGGTGACACATGTCAGATGATGAGTGGGAACATCATGGGCATTGATCGGTTTACATAATCAACGCAACCTTGAATGACCTTTTAAATCAGTACTTGGCAACAACCAATCACAATGTAGAGAATATCGTATAAGGGAGTGATTTCTTACAAATTTGCAGAGTAGCCTTTTCACACACCCGATGTAAATAAGCGAATACGAGAGTGGAACAGTTGATTGAGTCGCAATGATGATGAAATGAAGATGGTCACTTTTAACCTTGGTGATTTAAGTAAAGGAACATGTTACTCAGTGAATCGCAGAGAGAAAAAGAAGAATCCAAGTGTCCTCTATAGGACTCATACCTACGACCCTCCCACCAGTACTTCAGCCGCTCTACCATTAAACTGTAAGAGACTTGTGGTAAGTAAGCTCTTCAAACGAGGTCCCTAGTGGTAAACTTTCTGTGTACTGCGAGGATAAAACTGTCGATAGGTGATGCTCATGCGTGACGACACTTTTTGATGAAAAAATCTAAAGGTGCGAACTGGCCCTCTGGGGGAGTCCATTTAGACATTCGCATCATATTCTATGTCGTAAAAAAAAGGTTCTAATATCTCGAACAAAGAAACTTTCGAAACACTTCAGATTCGAAAATCCTAATGAACTCCTCCAGAGTGTCATTTCGCATCTTAAGATTTTTCATCCAAAAATGTCGCCACGATAATAATAAACTTAAATTCAATCGTAACACCAAATTTTCCAACCTTTCTTCGGAAGAGTGTTCGGCACAAAAAAGTCCAAAAAAAAGCAAAGACAAAGTTATCAAAGAGGCCGATCTTCTAGGTAAACAGAAATTTCCGGCCACTACTCCTTGAACTTCGTGTATTTACTTTTTATCTAAAATCCACACATCTAATTTTTTTTCTAGAGTTTTGCCGCTTGCCTACGCAGTTTGGAAAGCCGCAGAACTATGTTGCTTACTATGTTCAAAAGAAGCCATTTGAGCGTGTTACCCATTTGTAGGTTTGCTACTCCCAAGAGAAGGTCCTTCTCTTTGGAGTAGTAAGCCTAGTAATGGATAACTCGCTAAAATGGCCTCGTTGTAACAAAGTAAGCGGTCACAAAACAAGCAATGCATCAGAAAGTAAGATGAAGTATTTTTATTGAGAATTTCACTGTTCCTTTTTTGTTCCTAAGAGCGGTTGTAAATATTCCCATACAAACTCTCGTATTTTCGCCGTAACTCTTATTACGCAAGATGATCATCCCAAAGCTGGAGCTTGGGGTGCCTGTTATGGAAGGTAACGGTTTATGAAAAACTTACAGATTCATATCGCTACTTATTGTACTCATCCGACTTAGCATCCATCACACGTCAAGAATTCCCTACCTTTTTAACAGTTTCTCAGACTTCGTCGTTTATGTAGTAATCAGAGGCAATGCCAGTTTTTCGATAAACGTGGTTATCCTTTCTCAGTCGTTCAAGCAGGCCACCACCGCACCCAACAAATTGATCGAGAGTCAGCACTACAAACGGCACAGAAGGAAATACCGATCGCAATCCATTCACTCTCACATTTCAGCCTCACAACCACGCATTTAAATCTCTCATTCTTAAAAACTTTAAATTACTTTAAAACGATTCAGTGACTGAAAATATCTTTTTGTAAGGTCCATTAATCTCATTCAAACGTGGCAAAAACACAGGCAACGTAACTTTGTGGTCAGAGGTTCATTTCAAACCAATGACCAACGTAAAACCTTCAAGTGCGTTCGCACGCGAGACAAAATCTGTCCTTTCATTCATAACGTAAAGGAAATATCGGGACCCAAGAGATCTATCAAGATTACTGATCACTTCATGTGCACCTCCGCCAATGTCAATTATTGCATAACTTGCACTTTATTAGGAGAAATTTTGTGATTTTTCCGTGTGTTTGTTTGGAACACATTTACGCATACACTTTTCATGTTTAATCATTTTCGATTTATTCAGGTTCTTTCGTTCTAGTATTTCAAAAATATAGAAAAGCCACAGTAGTTTTTGAATTGCCAACAATTCATTTTTTTTAATACTTTGCCTTTCATTATACCCCTGTATGTCGGTACTTTGATGACCATTTCTGTTGAAACTGCATGTAAACACAAGTGCCAATGCTTTCCCTGGAAATATAAATGTAAGTGTTGATGATCTTTGGGGAAATTGGTTGTCATGGGAACTTAGCAGCTGGGTTTGTGCTCGTAAGTTCGCTTTCATTTTATAGGATAATTTCTGACGTTGCCGCTTTTCCGCACTCTTTTTCTGTTAAGGGTCCTTTACACCTCTCTACGTCATTGCAGTTTAGGATCGAGAGAAGAGAAAGTCCAGGAGAACTCACTTTATTTTGCTTAACCGCTGTTACAATACACTTTATACTTTGGAACTAAATCCAAAGTCATTGGAATAAATTTATGCATATTGACTGCAAACGTTTAATCTCTGTCAAATTAATTATACTGGTCACTGAACAGCCAGGGGAACAACTGCCCTGGGCCAGTTAATTACGAAGTCTAACCCAATCAACGGTTTTGCGGAATGAATAAATGTCCTTCCACTGTTAGCTCTCAGCCCTCTTGACACTGTTCCAAAAAATAGATATTCAGATAAAAGGTCCAGCTCAATTGTGGATTGTTTGGGATGCAGTTTTGTTAAACAACGGCTGAACTTTGTTTGAATAACCGACCCTTTAAGTATTTAACCAAATAATTGTTTGGTTTGGTAAAATCTCAGAATAATTTTTCAAAACCACTCTGACATTCTGACAAGTATCAGCCAGGACAGCCAAAAATATTTAATTTGATAATGATACTTGATATTTGAAATCATACAAGTAACATTGTAATAACTACCACAGTAAGATAATATATTTATCACTGAAATGTCAAATACATATCTTTAAGTTTCCAAGAAAAGTTTATCGTCTTATAAAGCAGCGGGTTGCTGTCGAGTTCGCTGGCCTCGACTAGCGAAGTATTATAAACGCAGTTGTTGATAACTGCAGAGTTACCGAAATATTAGATCGGACTTGATCTGGAAGCGTGTATGACGAAGTCATAATTATCTGACATTCGAATTTTTGACGCGAGAGCAAGCTCAAGAGGAATCTCTATTCTCTTCCAGTATAAATCGGATGTTACTAAAAGCGGGAATGGGGAACGAAAAACGTGGAATGGAGAATGTGGAATGGGAAATGCAGATTGGAAATGTAGAATGGGAAAATGGAATGGGAAATTGAAAATAAGAAATGAATTTTTTTCAATGTTTTTGTTTTAGATTTATTGTTTATAATGAGTAACAGATATTTTATATCGATATCCACGTTCTCTTTCAACAACGTTCAAGGGCAAAAGTCAAGGACCCAAATAAATTGATGAAAAGAAAAGAAGTGAGCGTCAAGGAACAGATAATGTCCAAGAAAAAATATATAAGTAAAACTTTCACGAAAAATAGTGGCTATTGAGTTTCTCATTCTTCAATATTTAACAACGCACGTGAAAAAATATTACGAACAGTTTATTGTTTTCTGCTTGGGATGTTTTCTTTTGGGTCTTCTCTGGTACGACCTTATGAAGGTAACGACCATAAATTTTCTCATCTTAAATTAAATTGCAAACGAAGACTTATCGTAGTGGACGTAAGGTTTGAAAATTGGGGGGTATCACTTGGGTGATATCCTCGGATATCCCCCAGTTTCAGTTAGGTAATATTTGTCAACGTGATGCGTTTAGACCAGTCGTGTGCAGCAAAAATATTTGATGGATCATAATCGAGGACACACCCCAAGTGATATTCCCTAATCTTCAAGTTCTACGTCCATTACGATGTCTTCGTTTAAAACTAATTTAAGATGAGAGAGCATTTTGGGGTTATTAAAAAAGAAGGGACATGTTTGTTTGTTTGTTTACAAAATCGTATCAGTGAACACTAGAAAGTGAACATCCCACGCAATGAACGGTTAACCGTTCACAAACATTTTTCTCTGTAATTCGCAAATAATATTTGAAGGATAATAAACAAATAGCCTCCATTTTTTCGCGGAAATACGCTCGTTCGTTCGTTCCTTTGGAAGTTAAGGAATTGCTGCACACTGGCCACCGATGTTCATGCAAATTAGCACTCGAAACCTGATAGATTCATCATCTGGAAGGCGCGTCTTATGGTCGTTAACGTAAAAATTATGCTTTGATATGAATTTTTCAGCTACGCCGAAGCCACTAGCTTGAAAAGTAAGGCAATTTGTGATCGAAATTTTACTACTTAGCAAGTCTCCACTACTTTCAAAAAACATAATGAAAACTTTTTCTTAAATGGACATTCAACTGTGGGTTCATTTGTCGTTCGGAGTTGAGAGGTGACTTGAATTCTGAAAAATTAACGGCTAACTTCGTTAAACCTTCCAATTTATCAATTTTAAAGTTTAAATTTAAATTTTTTTAAATTTTAAATAGCCCTTTCATCTCAACAAGTTTAATTCAACCTATCTCTTGTTAAAGAAAAGAATAAAATTTGTTTTTACAACATTCTTTAGTTGTCGTCTATCACTTGTTACATTATCATCTATTTATTCTTTTTTTTAAATGTTATCTCTGAACGTATTAAAAGAAAGCGTGGATATCGATAATCGCTGCTGAAAAATTTTTATTCTGCATAATAAATATAAATTTAAAAAAGGTACTTAATTTCCCATTTTCAATTTCTCATTTTCAATTTCCCATTTTCGCAGAATTTCCCACTTGCGTTGCTGAGAATTCCGCACACGCTGGTTCAGTAATCTTGGGCTGTATACTTTCTCTTGATTCAGGCTTTATTTACGACAATTCAGCATTACATGTTCCGTTCTGCGATTTATCTACCCTATTACAATCTAATCCTAGGGTTAAAAACTTACTTTTTAAAAACTTAGGGTTAAAAACTTAAATTACATTTATTAGCTAATGAAATCCACACCCAGATACGTAATTCCGTATGGGATTCTAGATTCACCCACGTTCTACAACGATTCGTGGGCACTAATTTCCTATTAAACATGGCTTTACTTGACAATCAAGCTGCTAGGTTCCTACGCACTTAAACGCCCTGCAAATACCTAGTTTCATACATCACTGCTCGAAGAATTAATTTGATTACCCTATGCCGCTCCCAATTACAGTTATCTTCTAATTGTAAAGTTAACTCTGTACTATAACGGTAACGAAATCACAACTCACTTAATACACAATTAAAGTCATAATAAATCTAGAAAATCAATATTTGCGTGGAAACTTTTCACAACACTCATTCCTCATTTCCCATTCCCGCTTTTCGTAACATCTCGAATAAAGCGCAGACGAAAACAATTTCTTTTCCCACTGGTTATAGGGTGGGAAAAATCTTTTGAGTGGTCTAATTTGTTTTTCAATCAGTGCCGTTTCCACATGGTTTGACTTCCTTTTCTCAGACGTGTCCTGAGACAAAATGCACCATTTCGTCAACGGAGCTAGAAAAATTCACTCCGTTCCAGAAACTCCGTTCCAGTAAATCGTTAATGACATCTCTTCTATTACTTTTCAAACATCCATAAAGTAGTATTGATATAGAAAATACACCCTATCGGAAATTCGCTTTTCGCGGTGAACATCGCTCTGTAATCCACGGATGTTTCTCGCCACATTAAGTCAATCAAGTGTGTGGCGAGTTAACGATGAGTGAAAATTGCGTGAATATTTCCATCAAGCCTTTTTGAACGGCGAGCGGAAGTGATGACAGTAACTGAACTTAGTAAGAAGATTCGGGAGGATCTGAATTCCAAGGGAACCTCTTTGAATGAGTAGTTTATGAGTAGACAATTTTTTACTTACTTTTTACTTAATGTGTACGATTTGACAACAACGATCACAAAACAAAATTCAATCTTTTTCAAACCTTGTTTGACAGAGATAAATCTCATGAGCCAATCCGACGCGAGCGTAACGCAAGACCTATCACAAACCGCTTATTCCGCCTCAGAAGTAAAGCATATGAGATAAAGCATTTGGATGATAAATAACTGATTAGACGCTTTGGTGTGCAGTATTGCTAAAAATTTTTTCGGATAATTTATATTTCAACTCGCCTAACGGGCTCGTCAAAATACGGCAAACCTCGTAAAAATACCAATTTCTTTCTGATCGGGCGTAAGGGCCGTACGCGCTCAGTCCGTTAAAAAACGACCGAGGGCCAGTATTCCCCCCCTTCGTAAGAAGTTATTATTGTATGCCAAGATAGTCTTGAGGTAAATCCGAGCGTTATACTTGGCTCTTATTTACAAAGAAACGGTCCTAAGTCGTGTGGTTTTGATCGCGAAAACCGGCAAATTAAAAAATAGCAGGTAATTTAGTGTTAACAACTGAGTTGAAAACGTATATTAGCCACTGTAAAGGGTAAAAAAGCTGACGTTTCGAGCGTTGGCCCTTCGTCAGAGCGATGGACAAAGGGCCAACGCTCGAAACGTCAGCTTTTTTACCCTTTTACGGTGGCTGTTGTAGAAAACTTACATAAGCTAGATATTCTTCTTTTAGACGTTCCTCCAATTTGCGAACCTCATCTGTGGGAAATTCTGACTCTGTTAAACCACCAATAACATTAACATGGTCAGTCTTGATACCAAGGGCTTTAAATGCATCTTTAGCGAGCTGCACGTAATGATCAAATTTAGTTTTCTCAATTTCAGAACTGTGCGAGTGGCAAAGTGCATTTCGTAGAAGTCGCAATTGATCAATGGCGAGGGCGAAAGTTTCAGCATTGTCCCCTCCTGGGCTCACCACGGACGTATGAAATACTCCAGGAGCCAGTTTACGAGGTTTTACATGTAGCTCACCAAGTGTCTTGAGATGACCTCTACTGTCGGGCATAGAAAAGGAATTGGCGTAGATGGTGGCCTGGAACAGGTTGGTACAATCCCATTCTTCATAGGAGAGGTTTGTGGGAACTTTGGTTTTTCCAGGGCCACCCTCAAAAGTCAAAAACAAATTTCTCACTGCAACGGAATCATCCCACGGTTGATGACCGGGAAGATGTCTCAAGTTGTTGTCCCACATAGATTTAAACGTCTGACGTAAAGCCTTGGGGAATTCATTGAGAGCAATGGAAGCGAATTTAAAATAATTCAACTGTTCATTGCGAAATGGCTGCAGTGCCATTTTGGCCTGTCAGACGCTGGGAAACCGGAGAACCTGAATTAGTAGGTGTCCACAGTCTGCAGAAATTAAAAGAGTAGGGATTAAACTATTGAAAAAAACGCTTTGACGGCATCTCAATTAACAAAGGATAAATGAATTGTTTATCAAGTCAGTGTGAAGTTTGGCATGTTGGTATATCAATTCAGTAAAATTCAGGCCCATTTTCAAATAATAGGAAGCTGACCATATCAGTTAATTAAATGAAATATTGGTGTATCGAGTCAATAAAAAGTCGGTCATATTGGTTCACCAAGCCATGTTCATTTATCTATTCTCAGTCGATTCGCACCCAAACCGTTGATCGATTCGTACCCGTCCCAATATACATTAAATCGAAATACTTCATGCAAGAACGTGTAAAAAGATGTCGGTTGTTTGGCACGACAAGTTTACAGCAAAATTAAGCAAATAAGATACAAGCAAAATTAATTTGACTGTACTTGTGATCTTCTTAACAAAAACGATTTTTGATAAAACAATGCATTGTTTATACTCGTGACTTTTTCAGATAACAGCTACTGTAAGTGTGTTTTTTTATTCCTTTCCTTCGTGGTTGCTAATCAAAAATGGACGCCATGCGTAAAACACTTATTTAACACGAGAATATTGCTATTTGAAATAAGAAACCGACCTTATTTTAAACACACTCAATAGGAAAAACACACTAAGTTAGTAAGGGTACCAAACGACTTGACTGACTGAATACGAATCGTGGTGACCTGCCATGGTACCGTGGGTACGAAACGACCGTGGGTAACTAATCAATCACTATCATTAGTCCATGTTAGGTTTTCAGATACGACATGATGAGATGAAGTTACATCTCTGAAAAATCTTTTGCATGCAGATCTAAATCTGGTCACCAAGCATCTTTTCAACCATGATTACATTTGGAGGGGCGGCATTGGGGTCCTTTATGGTATGGTAAGAAATTTAACCTTTATAACCCATACCAATCGCCTTTTTAAACCAAGAAGGTCGATTTTCTGTTCAAGTCTTGCTGTTGTTTGAATGTGAAGTCAACCACATCAAAAACGGATAGCAGAGTTATTATTCGAAATAACAAAAAACTATCAACTACACGAATAAAAAAGATACAAAATTTTTCTGTTTCACGGACCTCGTCAAAATAATATCAGCCCTGAGCAGTTTTTTAATAATTTCCACAAACGGTGACGTTGGCGACATAAGGTGGTTTTGTACGTGATAAAACTGTAAGCTGTGAATCTGCAAGTGCTGTTTTGAAGTATTTGGCTCGTCCAATATGAGTTAATCATTTGTCTATATTTAGCATTCAGTTAGCATATGAATCCGAGGTCCGCAGTTAAAAGGTTTAAGCTATCGTGATGAGTTTAAATTGTGGCTGTCTTGTCTAATTTCCGTTAGTGGAATGTTCTTTTTTCATCATAAATATCATTGTCGTCATCATCAATTACATAATCAGGGTAATTATAACCTTCATAAAGCAGAGGGAGATCAATATCTAGATTCATGTAATATTCTATTTATTTAGGTGGTCAACCCAAAACCTTAATCAAACAAATCGTCACGATTCGTGTCTTATTTTCATCATCAACAGGTCTACCATAATCAGGTGCAATTTTTTGGTGGTTTTATTTTCTATTTTTGCAAAGGCGTTAATAAATTGATAGAAATAACATCATCTAACTTTGAAGTAATTAGCCTGAATGTTTTCTTCACTTTATTAATTTCCTAACCTAATTCAGTTTTACTTTTTGCGAATTAACGCCCCTTATCTAAACTCATGATGTGATAATACAGTGATAAAAACGTTAATTAAATACAGAATAATATATGGTCACAAATAGATATGGAATTTCTCCTCAAGTTTTCATTTTGACAGTTCACAAGTGAGCGCAGCGAAGATAAAACTAAAAGCAACCATGTATTATTTTGTTTATCATATAAACAAAATAGCCCTTTACTGAAAAAAAGTCGACTTTTTAATGAATGGAAATAAAAGGATCGATGATCGTAAAGTGCGTTCGCGCTAAAGCCCCTTTAAAACGGTTATGGTAGTTGATGATAGTTTCAACTTTCACTCACCATACTTGTCTATCATATTTGCGTTCAAATGGTTCATGATAGTTGATAATAGTTGACAAATTCACGCAATGAGATCACTTCATTATAAACAAATATGGTGCGGGCTGAGATCAGAAATTTCTGTTTGGTCGAGAAGTTGTGAGTTAAATAGACTGAAGCAGCCTACCAGGAAATGATGAAAATGAAGTTCAAGACATTCTGCCAAATTTTGGCGACTACTTTGTACTGTTTGAGCTCGTTTTTGGCAAAAAACAAAATTATTAGATTTAAAGACAAAAGACAAAACTATTAACTGCTCGTTAAAACGGCAAAAGCTGATTGGCGGCATCAAATACGCGGAAAAAACATCTTAAATTTGCACGTGTGTTATTACAGCTTTTCTCCTGGCTGGATATCCTTGTACAACTCCGCAGTTTGTATAATAAATATAAATATCGACATATAACTATGACTTCAAGTCACACTTTAAGTTAACTGAAACTTTATGTATACTTAATGAAAATATATAATTATGGTACAGAAGAAGGTGAAACAAATTTTTAGAAGACAGATTATAAATTCATGCCAGATAGATGTTTCAGAATGTTGATATGTGCACCTTCAGAAGCAGGTAAAACCAATCTATTTCTTGAAATGATACAGATTGCTTTATTATGGTAAAATCTATCTGTACTCAAAAAATTTTGAAGTAAATATAGAAGCTTAATTGAGACATTTGATCCAATAAGTAGAGACGTAGGATACAATGTTGCTGCAGTAAGTAAAGATGAAATTATACGTTTAAAGTAGATGAGTGAGAAACCAAAGGATAATAATTCTCGATGATTTTATATATGGAAAAATTCGAAGACCACTTGCTGAATACTTTATTGGTGAGAGACATGAAAAATTGCTCAATAATATATCTATCTCAATCTTATTATAAAACGCCAAAGGATATAAGGATACTGTCGTGATATTGCGTTACACGGTCACGCCACTGGGCCGATGAACATCTTTATATTCAGAAGACTTAGGCGACAACGAATACACACGTGGCGGCAGTCGAGTTCGCACAATAAACAACCCTTTTGAGTTCACAGAATCGTGACATGGTGTCAGAAGTGGGATCTGTTCACCCCTAAAGATGACAGAAGCAGCTGAAGCATCCATAGTTGTGCCACCAGCGCCGACTCAAGTTTTTATTCCCCCGTCAAATTTGCCCCCGCCGAAAGCGCTTAATTTTGACGACAATTTAGCCACCGCATGGAAATCGTGGAAAGCAGCGTGGCAGCGCTACGAAATCGCTACTGGTGTATATAAACAAGAGGGCATAGTTCGTGTGTCGACATTACTAAGCATCATAGGCGAGGATGGCATCAGAGCCCACGATACCTTTATTTGGAACGAAGACGAAAACGCAGACGACATTTCACAAGTCCTGAAGAAGTTCGACGAATTCTGCATTCCTAGGACACAGGTCATATATGAACGCTATAGGTTCAACAACCGAAACCAGGAACCAGGCGAAAACATCTCGACGTATCTTACGGAGCTTCGAACGATCGCAAAAAACTGTGCACACGATACAATCACACCAGATGAAATTTTGCGTGACCGCCTCGTGCTAGGCATACGGGATGATCGCGTCCGCGAGAGACTTCTCCGTTTGAATGATTTATCTCTCCTACAAGCAGTTGACATTATTAAGTCGTCAGAACAGACCCAACAGCAAGTAAAGCTAATGGCTGGAGGAGACACTGCAGTTCATGCGTTACGGAAGGCGGGATCGGCAGAAAAACCTGAAGAAGAACGACAACTTAAGTCACAAGCATTTAGAAGACCGTCTAAAGAATGTGGAAATTGCGGAATGGTGCATGGACGTCATTGTCCCGCGTATGGAAGAACATGTTTTAACTGTGGGAGTATGAATCATTTTGCGAATAAATGTCGCGCTAATCCCCGAGGAGTGAAAAGTAGAGTTTCGGCGGTCCACGAAGCCGTCGACATGGGAAACGACCCCTACTACATTGGTGCTACTACTAGTAAGAGCAAAGGCCAGGAAAAATTGGCAGTGGTCAAACTCCACATTTATGGGCCAGATCCCAAGACAGAAGTCCAGTTTCAAATAGATACTGGGTCGCAGTGCGACATTCTCCCGGCCCAATTATACAAGCAAATCACTGGGGACACCCTCCTTCATCGCCTCAAACCATGCCAAAAGGAAATAGTCTCGTACACAGGGGATCGCCGCAAAATTGCTGGTAAAGCTACCCTGCCTGTGTGGTCCCGTGGACAGCGGAGGTCAATGGAGTTTAACATCTTAGACGGAGACTATCAACCGATTTTATCATTGAACACCAGCCTCAATCTTGGCTTTGTGAGTTTGCATAATTGTGACGTCCTAGCATTACACGTCAAGTGTCCCAAAGCCTCCTTGCTCGAAGAGTATGAGGACGTATTCGACGGATTAGGGGCCCTACCGGGAACATACAAAATAGCCATAGACGAACAGGCGCAACCAGTTGTCCACGCACCGAGGCGAGTGCCAGTAGCCTTGCGTCCATGCATCAAAAACAAGCTGGACGAACTTGTTGATCGTAAAGTTATTATTCCAGTAACAGAACCGACGCAGTGGGTATCCAGCATGTTGGCCATAGTGAAGCCAAACAAAGTACGCATCTGTATTGACCCGAGAGATTTAAATCGTGCCATTCGGCGAGAGCATTACCAGTTGCCGACTATCGATGAAGTGGCCTCCCGCTTAACAGGTGCCAAGAAATTTACTCTTTGTGACGCCAAGGATGGTTTCCACCAAATCCTCTTAGACGATGCTTCTAGTTTCCTGACAACGTTCAATACGCCTTTTGGGCGTTATAGATGGGCCCGCATGCCTTTTGGTATCTCAAGTGCGCCTGAAGTTTGGC